ATCTTAAACTACATCTAAAGATGATCTTAAACTACATCTAAAGATGATCTTAAACTACATCTAAAGGTTATCTTAAACTACATCTAAAGGTTATATTAAACTACATCTAAAGATGATCTTAAACTACATCTAAAGATGATCTTAAACTACATCTAAAGGTTATATTAAACTACATCTAAAGGTTTTCTTAAACTACATCTAAAGGTTATCTTAAACTACATCAAAAGGTTTTCTTAAGCTACATCTAAAACTAAAAATAAAGCTTACTGTCTTCATGTCTTTGTGTTAACTTTACAATCTAACGTGAAAATGTGATTATTTCTACCCGCAGATCGGTGAACGGATACGGGTGATTTTAGACATGGATGACAAGACTCTGGCCTTCGAGAGGGGGTTCGAGTTCCTCGGCGTAGCGTTTCGAGGACTTCCCAAAGTCTGCCTGTTCCCCGCCGTCTCTGCGGTCTACGGCAACACGGAAGTCACCATGGTGTATCTTGGGAAACCCCTGGATGGATAACAAGATCTCCGTTAAAACTCCTCAGAAGGCTCAGATATTTTTTTATTTTATTTTATTTTATTTTTGTGTCGACACTGCCTGCTGGACATTTAAAGGTGACGGAGGTCGAGTCCTTCTGCTTCTTCCAAACAGACTTTTTTTTTTATTCGAAGGAGGACTGTTGGTATTTATAGCTCCAGGTGAACTCAAAGGATAATAAAGGAGTGTCACGAACATGGCTAACAGTCCACTTTTACAGATTGGTGATTTTTTATTTGATACAACCGAAGCTAACGGCGCTGCACAGTTACCAGTCTGCTCCAACGAGGCCAAAACTGAACTGTGGCAAACACTTTAGGTGGAACAGTACTTGTTATCAAAAACTGTTTGATGTATAAGTTATTGGGAAAAAAATAACTTTGGTTTTAATTTTCAGCTATACTCAATGATTGGATTGTGACGAATTCATGCCAAATCATTGTTACCCGTTATACTTTAATATTAAGGCCAGAGTGTCATGTGCAGAAACTTTTAAAGAGCCCATCCAATTATGGTGCAAACTTTACCCGTTTTACGGCAGTGTGTGTCCTTTTTATTGTGCTACTGTAGTATTACACGTTATTTATTAAGTGATTTTATCTCCGGTACTATACTGTAGATGCTGTATGGTTATAGGACCTGAAAATAAAGTCCTCTTGGTGCCACTTTAAGAATGAAAGTTGCTGTGGTGAGTTTGTTAATGGTTTTTATGTCAGTCTGTTGGGCCATTTGTACCTACAGTTATTCAAAATAACTTTGAACTGATTAGCGATAGCAAATTTAGGGTATGATTTTTTTTTTTACCTGAATAATATTATTAATTTTTGTTTTCTCCTGATGAAAGGCTTTTTTCCAGTGGTGGGCACAACTAACCACTAATCCACTAAACAATAAAATAAAAAAATTAACATAAGCTAACGACAACCTTAGACTTGTTAGTTTGATTCTACTGGTTTAATTTGAAGGTGGGCGGGATCATCTGTCTCAAATAGACAGATCCAAACCAGATTTATGGCTCTGTCTAACTTGATACTTCCAGTTTAACCCTTTCAGAATAAAAGCATTTCCTTGATCCAGTTTGTATTTTTATAAATACCATTTGAAGTATTTATAAACTCACTACCATATTAAATACATAGTCAAATTTAGCATTTATCATTTAAATGTTGGTAAATGTTGATTTGACGCTCTTATTTTGAAGTTTTGCTGTTAAAGATGCTACATGCTACACACAGTGCCTGACAGCACTAAAAGGGGATAGTTTTTATTTAATTCGGGATAAACGGCATAAAAATAAAAGTTTTACACTTGTGAATTTTTTAGTGGACTTAAAATTAGTGGAAGCTAATCGATCCGCTAACCGTTTCCAAAGTTAGCAAAAAGCTAATCGGCTAAATGTGGAGTTAGTTCCACCATTAGTGGAACCTGTACACCACTGCTTTTTTTCACCATGGTGGGCTGAGTTTTACAAAACTTGGCGCATATTTAAAACTTGCATAAATATGGAGAGGCGCAAAAATCCAGATGTGGGCGTGGCTATTTGGCTGAGAAGGGGTTATCTGCGGAATCAAAGTGGGCGTGACACAAGAGGGGGCGTGTCTAAAGCATAAACACTGTGGGCTACGAGGCCTACCTGACGATATCCTTAGACCCTGCTTGACCTCTAAACAGCCCGACCCTGACCCCAACACTAAGGTTAACCAGGAGAAATGTGACCCCAGTAGGGTTCTCCAGAAAAAGTGGTGCCGTACAGTAACGCCCCTTTTGTTCTTGTCCAATCAGGTGCGTCCCTTTAAAAATATTCCGTCAAATCAGATGTGTCGCTTTAGAATCGCCTTTCGTTGGGACACGCCCACTCGTCCGCAGAGACCCCTACTTGATTTGGCTCCCAAGCGCAATCTTCATTGCAGCCATTTTGACGACTTCATCGTACACGTACAAAATTTGGTACATAGCTGCATCAGTTCAGGTCCTACAAAAAAGTCTCTTGGCACCATATTGTAACCCCTACAGGAGGTCGGCCATTTTGAATGACAAAACAAAAATCACACCAAATGCTATTTTGACTTCAAATTTGGACTAAAGCTTCTTWATAAGACGAAGCACAAAAGTTGTTTGTTAATCTGAATGGAGTGGGCGTGGGATTTATTTGAATATGCAAGTTTTTACTTGAACACGTCTTCGAGGTAACACATCTGTAAACTGTATGTAGATGGACAGCAGTCCTGAATATGGCTACATGCTAACATGGTGGTGTAACAATTATGGTTTAAAGCAGGGGTGGGCAATCATGGTCCTCGAGGGCCGCAGCCCTGCATGTTTTATTTTTTTCTCTGCTCAAACACACCTGATTTGAATGAATGGCTGATTATCAGGCTTCTGCAGTACGGAGGACCGAAGCTGACATAATTAAAAATAAAAGCAGAAATATATAAATTGACT